TTAGTGGCAACCAAGACTAAAGATTAGTCATAGTTGGCTTGCTTTTGCAAGCTGGCTTGGAAGACGACAATATTTCAATAGGGTTTTGTGTGTCTGGTTGTCCTAAATATCTCACTCTTTTCCTTAGCTGGACTGGAGCTCTCCCATGGTTGCTGTGTCCAAAGGCCCCTTCGTAGCCCTAGCACCTCGTAAACAGCTTTTCCGTTTCACTTTCAGCAGATCAACCCTGCCCTGGGCCTGCCCCAGGGGCTTCACTTCCAGTGTTTGATATCAATGGGCGACTGACTGCACTGAGGCATGAGCCCAGAAACATGGAGCGGTTCTCCCTTTATGTATCTTTTCTATATTATTCGCGTTCCTCTTGCCTCTTTCCTGTTGCCCTCCAGCCTTTGGAGTAAAATCGTTGTTTGTTCTTTAATGCTGCCTAAGTACGGTGGCTGGAGCTTGAACGTCATGGTGGGTCCCTGGAGAGCCGCCCTTTGCACCGGTCTCAGACAGATCGAGCCTCTTGCTGTTTTCTGTTATCACGTGCCTCCACCTGCCCTCGGCATCAGCGGCCGCTGAACACGGTGCCGCCTCTATGCCTTGAATTGCTGTATGATGGGGCAGCAGCTCATTGTGGCTGGATTTCCACCTGTGTGCAGGGGCAGCCTGAGGACTAAGCAGCATTGACATGCTATTACAATCTAGTCTGAAAGCTCATGCCTTGGGCGGGCTTTGCCCTGGGTGATTGTATCAGTAAAACATACTGAGACTGCTTAGTAGGGGCAGTTTGCTTCGTTAAGGTGGCTGCCTGAATGCAAGGACAGCTCTTTTTTTTTTCTTTTCCCTCCTTCGTCCCTGATATCGAGCAGCAGAATTTTCCACAATAGGAGCCGTCAATTGGGAGCGCTTTTGTACCCATTGTTGTCAAGCATGTGGGTGGACTTGGGTAGTTAGATCCATGCCAGGGCGACTCCGTCTCGAGTTAGATTATTCTAAAGGGGCTGTAATTTTACCGTTACTTTGACAGGGGAGAGGATTGTGCATCTGGAGCTGAAGATGCGTTTCTGTACCAATGTTTTATGCTTCACTTGCCCTTGGAGGGGAAGCCTGTTCAAACAAGTTTTTGGAGCCCACCTAACGTCTGCCTGCTCTCTCACCTTTGCCTCTGTCGGCTTGCTGGGCTGCAGAGTATGTGTTCGGTCATTGCTTGCTTAGCCTTTCCTGACTTCCCATTTCAAATGAAAACCAAAACCTGTTTTCTCCAAGAGCGGTATGCACCCAGAGTAGGGAATCTCTGCTCCAGTAAAACTTCATTCCTTCTCCCTCTGCCATCATTGCTGGGCTGCACTTCATCACTGGGTGATTTCTAGCGGTAGCTGAATTGATCCCCGTGTATCGCTTCTGGATGATTGATTGCAGTGCATTGTGCAATCCTTCTAGATGGTTCATATAATAGATATCAGCACTCAACTTTCACCCTTTTTATTGGTATGGTGGCTTATAGATTGTTATTCTTGCCCAGCACGTTATGCTGGCGCCATGTCCTATAGAGTCCAGTCCCTCTTTAAGGTGCTTAATCCACCAAACCCAGAATTTAATATGGAAACCCGCAGATCCCTTCCACCCTGCGATGAGCATTGAGAGCCAGGAGACTGGGGGGAAGTGGAGGAGATGGGTGGCTGAGATCCCCTCCCTGTAACGAAGTGGCCGTTGGAACAGGAAGTCGGCCACTTCCTGTGCAGTGTTGACACTAATGGGAATGCACAACTTGTGCGTCGAAGCCTGTGGGTGATCATGCTGATTGCTAATCTGAGCTGGCACAGCTGCAGATGCAATTAGGGGCAGTCAGGAGATCGAGGCCTTTTTCAAAGCACCTGCTGTGCCACGGTCTCAGACAGTTATGGGGATTGTTTGGTCCTTCTGAATGTCTTTGCCTCTCTGAAGCGATCCTCGTGCGCTGCTCCATCACCCTGCTCTCAGGACACCCGGTAGAGATTTTGCATGTGGCTGCATCTCACCCTGGCTCCCTGCGAGAGCCCCTCTTGGCTCTCTCTCGCAGGGCAGGGGAGGAACCTTGCCAGGTTTGCAGCGTATGTTCTGTGACTCTCACGCTGTTCTCCATCTCGGCTCCGTGTCTACGAATGGGTCAGCTGCCAGGGGATCTGAACTGGCTTACAACTTCCCAGGAGAAGATGTGAACTACAAGCTGTCATGGGTACCCACTGACACAAAGGTGTCTGCGTTAGTGCAGCTGTCTTGAGAGAGCATGGTTGGTAATGGCTTGCCAAATAGCTTCCTTAACAAATGCAGTATTAACCTCTAAATGACGGGTTCCAGGTTCTCCTGGGTGAATTGACTTCTCTTGACCAAACCCAAGTGCTTATCTTGCACAAAGATGTGATAGAGAAGGAGGCAAACACTAAGGCAGTTGTGTTTGTGCTCGTGCTGCGGAGAGGGGGCCCGTGATCCTAAGTGTGTTGAAGTACATGGAGCGATCACCACAACTCTGCTAAGTGTGGGGCATGTGTGTTGCTCAGAGGGAGAAGCATTTAGGATCTACAGTAAAATCTAGAGGCCTCAACGGAGCTTGGGGCTACACCATGCAAAAGTTCAACAAGGACAAGCGCAAAGTCCTGCACTTAGGACCGAACAATCCCATGCGCCGGTACAGGCTGGGGGCTGGCTGGCTGAGCAGCAGCTCTGCAGAAAAGGACCTGGGGGTTAGAGTGGACAATAAGATGGATATGAGCCAACAGTGTGCCCTTGTTGCCAAGAAAGCTAATGGCATGCTGGGCTGCATTAGTAGGAGCATTGCCAGCACAACCAAGGGAAATGATTCTTCCCCTCTATTCAACACTGGCAAGGCCACATCTGGAGTACGGTGTCGAGTTTTGGGCCCCCCACTACAGAAAGGATGTGGACAAATTGGAGAGAGTCCAGAGGAAAGCAATGAAAATGGTCAGGCAGCTGGGGCACATGACTTGTGAGGGAGCTGGGTTTATTTTGTCTGGAGAAGAGAAGACTGAAGGGGGCATTTAATAGCAATCTTCAGCTATCTGAAGGGTGGTTGGAAAGAGGATGGAGCTAAACTGTTCTTAATGGTGGCAGATGACAGAACAAAGAGCAAGGATCTCAAGTTGCAGCAGGGAAGTTTAGGTTGGATATTAGGAAAAATGCTGTCATGAGGAATGTAGTAAAGCACTGGAACAGGTTACCCAGAGAGGTGGTGGAAGCTCCATCCTTGGAGGTGTTTAAGACCTGGCTAGACAAAACCTTGGCTGGGATGATGTAGTGGGGGCTGGTTGCACTTTGAGCAGGGGGCTGGACTAGATGTGACCTCCTGAGGTCTCTTCCAACCCTCATTTTCTATGATTCTGTGGAGCTGTACATCCAGAGCAGAAGAGCTTGTCTCGACCCAGCAAGGTCACTGTATAAAATAGGGTTACCATATTTGCAGTTCCAAAAAAGAGGGCATCTATTATGGGGACACCTCTCCCCCAACCCACAGCCCTCTATCCCCGCTGCTGTCCCTCACTCCTGACCTGCAGACCCCTGCCCCTGCCAGTGCCCCTCACTCCCTGCTCACAGTCATCGTGTCCGTCCCCCCCACCCCGGGCCAAGCTGGTGCCCCTCACTCCTGACCCACAGCCCCTTGGTGCTGCCAGTGCCCTGCAGTCCTGGTCCACAGCCCCCCACCCCCCAGTGCCCCTCACTTCCCACCCATAGTGCCCCCAGCCCTGCTGGTGCCCCTCACTCCTGACCCACAGCCCCCCTATCCCTTCCAGCTCCCCCATCCCAAACAGGCTGGAGAGCAGTGGCTTTGGCTCGTGCAGGTGGTGGTGGAGCAAGTCCAGCCCCAACATGGGCTAGGAGGAGGAGGAAGGGATGCCTGTAGCACCTCCTGCCCCAAACTGGGCTCCTGTGCTGTGCTCCCCCCAGCCTCCCACAGACTTACCTGCATCCAGCTGCTCCCACTGCCCTGCCTGGCTGCATGCTGGCCACGTGCATGTGCCCCCTGCCTCCAAACACCCTCCCCCCACCCCCTGCAGAACAGAGCAAAATCCTGGACATTTGTTCAGATTTCAAAAAAACGTCCGGACGGAAATCGGACGACCCAAAAAGAGGATGTTTCCAGGAAAACCTGGATGTATGGTAACCCTGGTATAAAAAAGATAAGATAGAGAGAGAGTGGTGGATCGGCAGCAATATTACTGTTGGTTTACAGGGAAGGCATCACACATGAAATCAGTGCCCAAGTTAGGGAAAGAGTCCAGGTCCCGTGTGGCCTGGGTGCTGGAAACTTTCTCAAAGGCTCACTCCCTTGGGAGAGCAGGAGCCAGGCAAGAGGAGTTGTTTTGTCGGTGGAACTTGCTGTAGTCTGCAGCTGATTTAAGAGCGATGACGTGGAACCCCCCGGGGAGTTGCTTTTGAGAAACAAAAGGTGATTAAAAGAAGAAAAAATGCTGGAAGCAGACTCAGTCTGGCATGTCTAAGCCCTCCCCACCCACTTAATAGAGGCCAGGGAGCAGAAGAGTCGGTAAGTGCACTAGTGTAGTTAATACAGTTGTGGGGTTTGTGCCAAAATCTCTCCACTTGGTCTGTCTTGGATTAAGCTGAGCCAAATTCTCATCTCACAGCCTTCTGCTGGGTAGTGGATAGTTTCAGGGGAGTCATCTGGTTGCTCTGCTGTGAGTGCAAGGAGAGTCCCACTTCCTTCGTGTAGCTCAATCGCTGAATTTTGGACTTGTGAAAAGTGCCAGGTTGACAGCCCTCAAGCCTCATGTGTCCTCTCTCTGGGACAGGGAAAGCACAGGAGTGCAAACTGTGCCGTGCCACCATGCCAGCGTCCCCCTTTCCCTGCACTGACGACATACATCAGGGGAAATAGGAAGGGCTTGTCTCTAGTCCTTGGCTTCTGTACGAGGCTACCAACACAGGTCAGTTTGGAGAGAGAGACTGTTGCCATTGGGGGTCGTTGTCCGCCTGACCTTGCTTCTGTAACCCTGTTTCTGCAGGACTTAGGAATGGAGTCGACCTCGCTGGATGACGTCCTGTACCGATATGCCAGCTTCCGCAACCTGGTGGACCCCATCACCCATGACCTGATCATCAGCCTCGCTAGATACATTCACTGCCCCAAACCGGTAGGTGCCCATTGTGCGCTTCTGCTCTAATTATGTGGCCAAGGGAGTTCTGCTCCCATCCGTCGTTCGGGAAACTGCATCGTGTTGTCAATGATCGGTGCCATGCACAGTGCTGTTCTTGCAAGCTTGAGTGGAGGGGGATGTGTTTGGACCATTGGGACAATGAAGTATATTCCCAACAGCCCCGTAAACCTGTGCCTAACCTGTGTTTTCCTGCTACTTTCTTCATGGTTCCTGTTTCTATTTTCTTTTCTCTTCAGGTGCTCTGGCAAATCACTAAAATTGTAGGAATATTTCTGCATTGCAAGGGGATGAACTAGGATGGCTTCCTAGGCCTTTTGTCTCTCTGACTTCTGTGGTGCCTTTTGGTTCCCACTGTGGCCTGTAGCGGGAGGGAGTACCCAGCTGCCACACTTGTATACCAGTAAGGGGGGAGGCAGCTGAGAGTGTACTCTGTCTTTGCAAGCGTTTGGGCCTGTGGAGATAAAAGCTGAGAGTACCGAGAGCCTGGAGCCACAGCAGCTGCAAGGACTTGCCTGGGCTGCGCACTCATCTGTGGTGTGGTGATGTGATTGAGCAGTGCTGGCAAAACAGGGATTTGCTTGCTGTTCCCATTCTGTGATTTATCCTGTCCTTGAAGGAAGCACGTCCCCTTGCTGATCTGGAGTTCAGGTTCTGAAATGGGACCCTACATCATTCAAAGAGATGCATCAGCATGGCGGGGGGGTCCTTAGGCCAGGTGCAATTATGGCAGGAACCCTCCTAATGCACCCTGCTTTGCCTTGCATTTTTGCCTATACATGAGCGCGGAGGCTGCTCCGATGTGCTGTAATTACAGTGCATTAGAGCAGACTCAATTAATCGAGTCTGGTGGAGTGTGGTAATTACTGTGCTCCAGCAGCCTCCCATGTCTCATGTACCAGCATCCCCACACTTCACAATGGTGGTGGGGGCGCTTGAACCAAAGTTCATCAAATGAGCTTTAGTTCAAGTGCCCCTACTGCCATTTTGAAGCGCAGAGACACTGATACATGAGATGCTGCAGCACTTTAATTAGAGTGGCTCTAATTAAAGCGCCATCCCCCCTACTCCAGAGCACATGTAAAAGTGCTCCTGGTGCCTGATGGGCAGTTCTTCCTCTGCAGCTCCCACTACGCGCAATGCTTATTTCCACCCTCCGAGGATCTGGCTCAGTACACTCCTGGAAAAGGAATCTAGATCCTGTTTCCAGTTTAGGGATGGACAGAAATAGAGGGGATCCTGGGTTTGGAGCTCGGCACACCGGGTTTGTTGGGCAGGACAGACTGGGCGTTTTGTCTGCCCTGCAGAGTTAGGAAGCAAGGTGCTTTCAGACACATGTTTCCTTTGGCTTGGATCCCTCTCTGCCTTCAAAGCATTTTTGTGTTAATGGCTGGAGCTTTTGTCACAAGCCTCTACATCAATGGCTTGCATTCCCAGGAGCTTGTCTCCTGCTTGGACAACAGGACGCTGAGAAGGCCTCCGCACCCTAGGATCAGTGATCGTTGCAGGGCACTGAACGCTTTTGAAATCCTGACCCTGGGTCTCTTAGATGGCGAATAAAATACATTGAATGTTTCTTCTCGTTGGGATTGCAAGCTGCTCTGAACTAGCAAGTGGCTTTCTCTCCCAAGGGTTTCTTTAATTAATTGCTGGGATTATATCAGTGTTGTTTGGTTCTAGTAATTGCATTGATGTAGGCAGGTGTTAAATGCCAGACTCTTCAAGATCCCCGGTTCCACATCTTTGTGCCTCAGTTGTACATATGGAAAATGGATGCAATAATATATCCCCTTGCCTAAGAGGAGAGGTGTAAGGATAAATAGAGTGGGATGCGTTTGGTGGGGCAAGGCTGCTTGCTTCCACAAAGTGGCACGCATCCCTTGTAGCATTTTGTAGTGGATCCTAGAGCCGGACGGTTAAGGACAGCTTTCATTGACAACTTAATTGCATTCGGCTTCCGAAAATGACCTTGATCCCTACGCCCCTGTTTTCTCTCCAGACATTAGGTTTACTACTGTGACTGTAAAGTATTCTGCGCAGGGGCTGTCTCTTACCAAGTCTATGTGCAGTGAGGCTACCCAGGGCTGCTGTAATGCAAAGAGGATTCAGGGGGTATCCCAGGTTCCCTGTGAAAGCTTATGAAGGACACAATCAGGCTAACATCACCTGTTGTCGCAATAATTTCCCCCGAGTGTTAATAATAACCTATATTGTTATATAACAATGAAGGAATTGCATTTTTTTTTTCAATTAAAGATTTTTTCCCCCCAAGGGGCAGCATGCGTTGGACTTTAGCACAGAGCAAGTGCAGAAGTCACTGTGGCCGTCCTCCTGCAATGATAGCCACCATTCGTGGCATCTGTGCAGGAGCTTTTCAGAAGCCTCCTGCAGCCCATAGTGGATTCAGAGCCGCTGTCGCACTGACTGGCTCTGGACAGGGGTTAGGGAACATTGTGCTTCCATTGCTGGAGCCTTGGCTGCACTACCACTACCACCAGTTTGCAACTGGTGGGGGGTTGAAACACTGAAAGAGCTTCCACAAGGAGAATCCTAGTGCTTACACAGACACTGGGAAGTCGGGGAGGTTTCCCAGAGCAGCTTTGATTTGTTTACAAGCAGCATTTATACGACACTTAGCTCTTAGCTTGCTTCTGCACGCACGATCGCCTGAGCCCTGAGTATGGGCTGCTAATGAGACTGCCCCCAAGCAATCTTGACACCCATGTAAGGCCATATGTAGGAAATTGCTTCATCCCTGTGAGACCCCTGCTCAAAGTAGAAAGGATATAACGGAGCCTTTAAAGGGCTGGCAAATTAAGGGTAGCCGTTTATGCAATTAGTACAAATACATGTTTAGATCTCTGGTTCAAAGGGAACAAGCTGTTCTGCACAGAGCAAGGCCTGCGTTTTTGATCTGTTGACTGATGGAGCTGAATCGGCAGCAGTGATGCAAACAGCTCTAATGGTACCAGTGCTTTTTCCTGTAGAGCAGTGGTTTTCAACGTTTTTGAGCTTTGCATTGCAATTTTGTTTGCGCCCCCCTGCCCCTCTGCTCCCCTCACTCGAGAGGAACAGCACAGCAAGGCTCAGGATGCTCCTCATCCTAGCAGCCGCCGTGGCTTGGCCCCACTCAGCTCGGCGGGGTGGCCTCCACCTACCATGGCTCCAGCACCTCCTGCCTTGGCCTTGCTGTGACTGTAGGCTGTGCGCCCACCGCACTAAGCTCCTGGAGGCACAGCAGCCTGCCCAGGCTGCCCCCACACCACCCTGCAAAGCTGCAGCGGTGCTGGGTCCTTGCAAACTTTTTGCCTGTGCCCCTTTGCAATGTGCCCCCCCCATGTTCCTTCACCCCCCCGCCCAAGGGTACGCCCCACAGTTTGAAAATTGCTGCTGTAGAGAATGGCGTTTCCCCCATCCCCAGTTAGACATGAAACCAGAGGAGCCTATTTTAATAGGCACTTGTTCAAAGCAGAGAGCTCTGTCAAGGTGCTGAAGTTGTCTGTGATGTGGCTTGTTTCTCAGCCTCATTTTCTCCAGGAGGATGAGCAGCGAATGGTCCTCGAGCCTACACACAAAAGCACCCTCCACAAAAAGGAATCAGTGGCCGCTGCTGCGCACAAGGCCTAATGCCAGCACAGCTTAATGCAATTAATTGCTGGCTTGAAATATGTGTAAGGTCCCCTAGCACTGGGATTGCGTCAAAAAGGGAGTTTGCTCTAGGCAGTATTGTTATATTGGTGCAATACAGAAGGACTTTATACCTAGAATAGGTAGGGGCTGCTGACACCTCATGCTTAGCACATGCATTACCCACTTGCTGGTGGTCCGTGTTTCCATGTTAACAGTGACTGTAAGAATCCTAACAATTAAACATACCTTGTTTTTTCACGCGTCCCCTCTGAGGTGCTCAAAGCTGTTTGCAATCCAGAGCTGGGCTTCTGCTTCTCTGAGACTGGTGATATTACCTGTCTTCTAGAGATGAGAAAGCAGGCGCAGCCTAGCTAAGTGAAGGGAGCAAGGCTGAGCCGCTAGTCTGGTAGAGCAAGGACCTGAATGGTGACCGACTCCCTTACTTCTTTTTCATGCTTTGACCTGTCCTTGTAGCCTTTTGACTTCTTGCAAGAGGCAATTTGACTCTGCTTGGTCCTAAATGTCCATTTCTTTCCTGTTTCCAAAGAGGCTGCCTGCCTCTGCTGCATGATCCAGCCAGCCTCTTCGTTATGATGACTTTGGCAGCCGCTCTGCGCCACTGGCCTAGCAGTTGGGAGCCCCTCAGGACAAGGGGTGCTAATTTGGATGCCAGCATGGACATTTTAAATATCGGTCCTGCAGTCTACCTTGGTGGTAGTTAGGAGACATGAGAACAGAGAGGAGCAAAATCCTGGAGATCCATGCAATCACATCCAAGTGATCACTCATTTTGGGAAGAAGGCCTTTATGTACTATGAAGCTGAAAGGGTGTAGAAGGGCCTGATTCACTTCATTATCCTGAAGGCTTTCAACCTTTATGGGGTACCTATCTCTAATGAGGGCGTACATGTCTTGAATGATTTTTCCCCAGTTATTTGACAGTAATGACAACCCCCAAGAGGGAGTGGGGCCTCTTGCTTTCTTTATCCCTGCTGACTGCTTTTTGCTTTAGTCCACTCCTGGCTTTTAGTTAACAGACTGTTATCCTTTCTGGTCAGGGTCTATTTATAACAGCTCTAACTTAAGGGTGACCTTCTGGCATGTAAGCTTTCTAGCTAAAATACGCGTTTTTAATAGCAGCGCTGCACTCTGAGCAAACGCATCCTCCCGTATGTGAAACAGCTAGCCCAGGCTTTGTAGATCAGCATGTGTTTAGTCCAGGAGAATAAATTCAAAACAGCAGCAGTGTAAGAGCTTTTAATTTATGTTGCATGAAGCTGGAATGAGTTGAGTGAGGCTGAGTCCAGATTTTATTTGGGCAAGTTTTCCTGTAGATGCCATCCTACTTT